TAGCTAAGGTTTGATCAAGTGCTGGGGTTGAAATTTGAAACGCGTTGGGCTTCAGGAGGGCAGATGACAGCGGGCAGCTGTGTGTAGCTAAAGAACTTCCCCGCACCTCGGGCTGGAAGATGGGGATTGAGTGGGTGGTCATTGAATCATCTGTCCCCAATATGCTTGGTTGCTTTACAGCCATTACGACAGGTCCCTGGGAAGCTCAATGGGTAAATGCCATTGAAAGGGGGGGTGGTTCCCAGTAGAAGGAGTCAGAGGCTTGAGATAAGACAGATCCAGTAGGACACTGAGCTGATAAGCCCTTGGTTTTGCCATATGCAAGCTCACATGGAGATTCCAACGTTTCCAAATGAATCAGAGCGAAACGGGTAGCCATAGCCGGGAATATAGAGAGAGCTGATAACATGACGCAGCATGAGTTGCTTACCGATTGTTGACCAATTCCAAGAACTGATTGCTAAACGGGCTCAAGCTTCTTGAAGATGAGCGAATAGAAGGAGACAGAACAATTGATGAGCAGACAACTTCAGAAATTATTTGACGGATAGGTAGGAATGTAAGAGGATTGAATTCAGAGAATTTGGATAGGAGGAGATGTGGTGATGATGGTGGAGAGAAAAGTAGTAGTAGTAGTAGTAGCAGTCGCAGGATACTAGAGGCACATTAGCAGCAGGCAGATGATGTATGACTTTTTGCATGGCACAGTGACCGTAAAACCAGCCTAACCGCTTTGTTCCTGCCACGGCCCACCGCCCCGTCGCGTGACGTTCTCTGACGGCATTAAAACGCCAGGCCCCCGTTGTGTGGCCTTCTGTTGTACAACACCGTTACAAAACCGTCCGGTAAAATGTAAACCACTCAAAAGTCGTTCGTTGCAATTGCGCGCGGGTACCTCAGGCTCATCTTCTTTCCATTTCAGGATTAGTGGACCTCCCTACTCTTGATCTTCCTTTTTATGGCTTTCTTTAATAAGAATGATTCTCAATGGATGGACATTGCCATCCGAGAATTGGACTACGATCTCTTCTAATCATCTACAGACATTTAGCTATATAGGATAAAGAACACGTGGAATCTATGTTGTCAAAGAGGGAGTACCTGAATTTGCCAGGTACAGGGTATTTGTAGGTAGGCTAAGTTGGGTTGAACAGCGGGAGTGAGTGCCTCAGGTCGCTAGAGTAACTTTGTACCAATCATATTCAAGACTCCGGGGTGAGGGATATACCTATGCAGTAGCTGCATAACAAGTGGTATCATCATATCTTGTTAATCTGAGGCATTTTTACATTGCTCGATATCTTCATGGATAAATTCCATCTGATACAATTTTTGCATCTTCAGACCACATAATTGAGCATTCTCGTGGACTCTACTTGTGGACCAGAACCCTTGATCTAGCGTACCTATTTATGGGTAAACCACCCATAGATTGGGAGACACGTTGGGAGGTTAATGGTGACCCCTATGTCGCCCTTTTCTCTTCACTACTATTTCAAGAGAAAATCCCTCTTGTCTCCTGACCCCAGATAAAGCAGCTGTGGGCCGGACCAGACCATGGTCGAAAAACCATAGTCGTCAGTACAGGTATCCTTACAAAGTTACGAGGTATCTAGTGGGGTACCTTTCTAGCACCTGACGTTCACACCTCGTTGAAATGGAACAATAGAATCCTCCACTTGTGGCTGTGCATAATCCAGTTCTCGACAGTCATGAGCCCTAGGCAATGACTGCATTAGCCTGGAAACGTCAATATCTTCTACTCTGGCAACAGGGCCGATCTCATTGACAACAGATATACGGTGTGCCTCGTTGGCCCTAATGTATGAAAGCATGCTCTCTCATCAAAGTCTGTATGGCCATTGCTGTCGAAGCGGTGAGCATCTCAGGTTTTAAGTGCTCAGCAGTAGGATGGCATCATGCATCAGCATCTTTGGTCTTATGGCCATTCATGATACCACCTGTCAGTTTTGAGTAAATGAATGGACAATTTTTAGGATTCTATATCAGCCGACTGACCAACCCATGTTGTCTTTGCTCAAACAGTAACCTCCAAGCCCGACTTATCCTCATGTTGTTCCTATTTCTGTTCGAGTTTAAATCATAAACCTCTCAGCTAGTGGGCCTGAGGCCGCAACGGATCCACTCCCGACCAATCTCAGCACCGACATAACAAAAAGACTAACAGAGCGCGACGACAACCGCCACATAGTGTGGACCTCTTTCAAGGGTAATCAGATTACACAAATACTGGGGTGGAGTGGCTGACTACCAGGGGTAGCAGAGAGACCAGATGGAGATCTTCAGATCACATCATTACAATCTTCTTGTTCATGGATGTCCGTAGACGATTCTACGGTTCTACCTATCTATATTTTTTTCCGGGACTGGGTGCAATTCTAGTATCCCAGGCCCTCATGTGCACTTCTTTCGAAAGAATTGTCAAATCTTTCGTTGGGGCAAATCCTGATTCCCTGCGCCCTATGATCACAGCTAGAAACTCAAGTCTAACAGACTAACGCAGTCTGGCAAACAAGCATGCAGGCATCAGAATCTCTCTGATTAGACCACGAGGAATGGGTCGGCCACTTGGCAAATGCATCAACACGGACATTGGCACCTTGCAGCGCACATTCGAGGCATTGAGCTTCTCTTGTGCTTTGTGAAGACCTCCAATAGGAATACATTAACCTTCATACACAAGCGAGTTTCATCTCGATCTCGTCGAGCATATGGTACTCTGTACCCACAGGTCAAGAACTAGAGTGCTACAACCGGAATCACTATAATGTCTTCATTTCCTGCTTCGTACCCTCCAGTTAGTGGTCGTCAAAACGCGGGGTAAAGGCAGAATTCTCCCCCTGGTGGAGGGGTATATGACGTAAAGCGGGTTTTCTAGTACAGTCCAATGGCATCAATAACTGTCTGCCTAGGTATAATGTTCTACGTAGGTACGGAGTAGTAGATGACGGTATTCGAAGGAAAGCTGATGTGTGCTTGTGTGGTGTATGACAGATTTACCAAGCCGCTTACCTAGGTCCATGCCGGTGTCCGGGCACAGAAACAACCTGAGTAAGAAGCCCTGTAAAAGAGATCCAATTGAACGCCAATCACACGCCTTGTTCAATAAGATACTTTGTTATATTTCTGCCTTAAGGGAAGGAGCAATTAGAGAAAGCTTCTTGACCTTCAAGGTTGGTAAACTGACATCTCAGTATCAGAGAAATGTATGCCTGCTGTTTGCTTTCCCATGGGCATAAATATCGTCAGCAGCAAGTCTATCATGGGGATATTGACTCTTGCATTGTAAGTTGATACTATTTCATTCAGAAACTATTCAGGAACCAAACAGGACTGAATATCTTCTCCTCTCTAGAGTAATTCATTCATCACCAGGATGCTAACAGGGTATTAAGTGGTATACTTGCACTCGCAATATAACTCGCAGACCTTCGAGCCACAGCCGAGGATGAAATCCGCGCAAGAGTAAAGACACATGCAAATTCAATCAATGCAGAACAAACGAGTATGAAATGGGCATTCGCTCCTTCAGCGTTCCCAACCTCAAGACGAATTCGGCATCCGCCAATCCAGATGAGATAAAAGTACAGGCCTTTTTTAGGCAGTCATAATCATGGCGCATACACTGCGGAAATGATGGTTGTGATCCCTTTTTTCTTTTCTTCGACTCTCCTTCTACTCCGATACGCATCCAATGCGTTTCAGGGTGTTCCGGGTACCCAATAATCCGAGAAACGACTTGGTTGAATATCTCCGTCAAACGATCATCTGGACAAGTCCCTGCCCACCAAGAGTCTTGCTGCCCACGAATTCTTGACTTTTTAGGCCCGCCAAAGCATAGAATATGGAGGCGATCAGTAAGAAGACCGCTGCGACGATCAAACTGGATGCACCGGAGCCGGGGAGAAGACTAAGCCATTGGATGACACTCATGATGGCGTACATCGCAGCGCGCATCCAGTTGGTGGTGAAGCGCCGAATGAACGCATCGAACTTGGAGGAGGTAGGGCAGATTCTCAGCAAGAAAGGAACTTCAATGAAGATGAGGATCAATCCCGAGACACTATGATCGTCAGCCCGACTGTCCAGAGTGTTGCTTAGTAGGACTGGCATACAGGCATAGTACGCTGAAGATGATGCGCAAAACAGCGAAAGAGAAGATGTTTGCGATTCCGAGAGCAATGCAGAGGATGATGCACAGCACACCCGTCCTATCCAAGATCAAGTCAGCAGGCTTTCAGACCAGAACGGTGACGACTAGCGGTAAACTATCATCGCTAGAGAATCCAATTCCATGCTGTAAACCCCTTTGAAAAAGTCGCGGCAACCGCAAGGCAGCCAGTGTGAAGAGGACTGGTGGTAAATTCAGGCAACCGCCATTTCTCTCCGACATGTTTAGGGCCGGGCTCAACATCGAGAAGGACGTAAAGAAAAGGGAGGAAGGAGTAAAGGATGAGTAGCAAACCATTGTCCGTAGATACCTATACACGAGTTAAACGATTAGCAATCTGGCTCTTTCTTGCCTCTCAAAGGTAAACCACGAAGACACATACTGAAGTTTCTTGAGCGGAATTCCTCTGCCAATGTCATGGTGGATGATATAAGTTTATATTCGAAGAGAGAACAAGTATGTCTGTATACAGTATGATTGTCTCACTGAGATGAACCAAAGATGGAGTTCGTGTGTGGGATGAAGACGGTGAGAACGTTTGATTGTTGACGCTCACAATAAACTGTGGCTGAGCAGATGCGATTGACAGGTGCGGGTATGGGCCAGGTTGCCAGATCGGGTCGATCCCGTTCACCGCCCGCGGCAAAACTGGGTAGCTAGGTACAGAGGTATTCGGCTTGCATAACTCCATCCAAACAACCTCAGATACCTCAATCTTCGCAGAAGAGCTCCATAGAGAACGTGTATTGGACATCAGGACTCTGTGGAGGCTCACGACTGAGCTGCTAACCTCTCTATATCTACCGCAATGGACTCTGTTGACTCCAAGCATACCCGGGCTGTCTCCAGATGTAAGGACAAGATAGAAAGCTCGATATCTACTGCTTAAGCTGATATCTGTTTCTCTCAGCTTCAAGACCTCGTAGCTCGACAAGGGGACCTTTAGAAGAATTCAATGAGTGAGCCGAACTCTGATACCCCGAAGCCACGAGGATATGCTGACAAGGAAATAGCCCCCTCGGCTCAGCTGATATCAATGTATCATCTACTCCTCTTGTACAAGATGAAGCTCAGACTGGGATTTACTCGGGTCACACCCTTACCGCATTAGACCCGCTGGCGCCAAGTGAGCTACCACCGGGCGTGGAGAAAGACCTGTCGTATCTCCTTCGCTACGACGTCTATCATTCCCTGTCACAAATTGATATTCCACATCCACTGCGTTCGGAGTTTGTCACGCCAGCTCCTGATGAACTATTGAGCTCATCCTTGGGTAAAGTTGAGAAATTGTTGGCTGAGGGCCACTTCTTACTCGCCGCTTATCTATGCGGAACCATCCTGACTTCTCGTTCTCTCTCGCCAACTGATACCAAGCTGATTTTTGGGCTTTTCTATACACGTCTAGCGTGTTTAGAACTGTCTGGAAATGCTATTCTAGCAGCGCAAGAATCAAAGGCCCTTGAAGACTTGACTTCGGCCTTTTATTACGTTGACTTCAACCAAGACGCATCCGCGAAAGAAACCCCTCAGAAACCGTCAGTTCATGCCCGCCATATCGTGCCATGGCCACTGCGAGTTCTAGCAGTGAGACTCCAGAGCATCGGGTTTGGTGATTCTCGCCGAGGCATTGGCGGCCTCTACGAACTTGGCCTCGAGGCGCGAAGGGAAATCATGCGAACGGACTTAACACAATCGGAGCGAGAAATCTGGAGGGATAGATTGGCTGATCTCGGAATCAGAAGCGTGAATGCCTTGATTGAGATGGGGGATCTTGATGCAGCTAGAAGGTCACTGGACAGCCTGAAAATATCGGACGCGGAAGCCGCGATAAACAGGTCAAGAAAAGTGCTTCTCTTCTTGATGATTGGCGACATTGACGCCGCAAAGAAAGTGTACGAGGAAGCAGGCATGCCCAATGAGAGTATCCTTAAGCCGCTCCTCAGCATGGCGGAAGGCCAGTACAACGATGCAGTGGCCGAATGGAGGGCACTTCTCGAGAATGGCGAAGAGAATAATGATAAAGCCTTGATTTCGCAGAATTTGGCCGTCTGTTTATTATATACAGGACAGCTGAATGAGGTAAGTCGATACATCTTCGGTCCGATATTTCTCGCCGAGGACGTTAAAGCTGACGCTTACTCACAGGCTCGTCAAATTCTGGAGTCGTTGGTTGCTGCTAACCATTCGTTTGGCAGCTTGGTGTTCAATCTGTCCACGGTCTACGAGCTTTGCTCCGACAAGGCTAGTATACTCAAGACCAGTCTTGCCGAGTCTGTTGCCAAGCAGCCCATCTCAGGCGATCTCAATCTTGATCGGCCCAGTGCGGATTTCAAGTTATGAAATTGACGCATTCCAAAACGGCCTACATTGATGTCCTGCATTGGGAGGGATAGCAATACTCTATTTCTTCTCAACACTATCTAAGGTCTAACCAGCTAATGATGAATAATCCAATGAGGCATCTGACGCTCATGCTGTCTCATGCTGTCTCATGCCACCCCAAACAAACACCATGACTGTGCAATGCCTCAAATGCTCACTTTGACACCGAAGCGTGAGAACGATCGTTATAAATGAATCAATGAGCCAACGCCTTTTCACTCGCTGTTCTTGATTGGTGCCACTTTGGGCTTAGGTTTCCGAATGACTACCTTGTCACCTTCAAGCTGCCAACCCAAGCCTTCTTTCTCCACCAATTTCTCCCAAGTCCACTGTCTCCCATCTCCTGTACAGCCTTCGACAATCCAGCTCACGTGGACGTTGAGATAAGCACTGCCGACGGCTTTCAGCGCATGCCTCCGGACACGGTCCTCGGCCCAATTGATCACAGCCCGCGTAGGTGAATCCACCTCGTTTCGGACCTGCCAAAAGGCAATCCAATTGTCATGCATCAGCGCTGCCAAAACACGGTCAACTACGTCCGACTTAAAGGCGTATTGAGTACGGGCGCGTGCACGCAGCTCGAAGGCAGAAACCATATCCCGTTGCCGACACGCATAGTCGAGAATCAAATATGATATGATGTCTTTCAGCTCCGAGTCGGGTAAAGGGTGAGAGGGTGAATGTAATGTTTCAAGAAGATAACGGAGAGAAGGGAAATATGAAGGTGGATGCTGAGCGCGAATGGAAACTGTGACCGAGAATACATGGACCTGCTGCTGGAAAGACACGGGAACTGAGGACGCGGTGGCTAGCACGGCTTCCCGGAGCTTGCGGAGAGACAACAGAAGAGTTGATAATTCCGTAGCCGGCTGAGGACCAGTCCGTGCTGTCTTGTTGCAGGACAACTGGAGGCGAGACGCCGGTGGGTTTCTTGTTGCGTCTGCAGAAGCACTGGTAGGAAGGGATGCGAAAGCCTCAATCAGGTTTCCGGCATGTCGAGCACAAAACTCCATCCATCGATTCTTAATGCGCTCAAAATATTTCTTTTGTTCCTTGTGATCTAGGAGCCTGCGAGGGATCAGCTCAATGAACAACTTCCCGCCCCGTGTGTCCCTCCGATCTCCTCATTGAAGGTTGATGCGCACATACAGCCGATCACCTTTGGACACAAATCCCACCACCTCAAGAGGATCCCTGTCCTTCAGAGGCTTCAAGCGGCTTTCGGAAAATCGAGCCGAACGAGCTGCGGGACCTGCCATGGCTGGCAATGTGCCGTAATGAAGAGTGGGATGGTGAATTGCGTCATGAGGGGAGATAACAGCTTTGGCGCTGTCGTCTGTCTGGTGTGATCATGGATCGTCAACTCGTGGAAGGAATTACTCCACTGCCCTGACCGCTTGTTTGGTTTGTTTGCTTGGTTTTTCCTGTTTGCTTAGAGTGGGACGCCGAGGTTCCTTTTTCCCCCAACGTGACAATTCCGAGTGATTCCCAACGGTCTATTTATCCAAGGTACCTTTTTCAACAATTGCTTCTGTCTCGAATTATAATACTCATCGGTCCTTAGCATCCTCTCAACTGTTTGTGGTCCTTCAATTCGTAGTTGTGGTGACAAAATTGTGTTGATCTGCTCAAGTTTCTTCCCGACCCGCTCCTATACTTGTTTGCATACTTTTGCTGCATGTGAAGAAACATGTCTGCTCGCCAACGTCGTCCCGCTGAGAGCTATCAAAATGGATCGAATTCGTCTCAGCCTGCTGCTATAGCTTCTGCAGTTCTCGAAAAGCCGCCGGAGGTCGTGAAAAAACTTCTTCATTGGGACGACCTGCCGCATTGGCAACGTGATAATCACCACATCCACACGGGATACCGACCAGCCTCGTTCTCGTTTCTCGTGTCCTTTCAATCTCTCACGTACCTCCACAACGAAACGGTCAACATCTATAGTCATCTTCTACCGTCGCTACTGTCTATTCCCGCTGCGTACTTACTGTACCAAGAGCTTGTTCCTCGCTATGAGACTGCCACAAGGGACGATATCTTTGCCTTTGGTTGCTTCTTTGCAGGAGCTGCCTTTTGCTTGGGGATGTCGGCGACATATCATACCATATCCAACCACTCTCCCCTGGTCGCTCGCATAGGAAATACCTTTGACTATGTCGGTATCGTAGGCCTTATTGTGGGAAGTTTCGTGCCCAGCGTCTACTATGGCTTCTACTGCGTTCCAGCCCTCCAACGACTGTACTGGACGATGATCTGCACTATTGGTCTTGGCTGCGTTATTGTCTCTGTTCTGCCTAAGTTCCGGACGCCTCAATGGCGGCCTTTCCGCGCAGCCATGTTTGTCGGCATGGGTCTGTCAGCGGTGTTTCCTGTGCTGCACGGGTTGCAGATGTTCGGGTTCGACCAGATGACGCGCCAGATTGGGCTCGGATGGCTTCTTCTGCAGGGGTTCCTTTACATATTGGGGGCTACAATCTATGCAGCTCGAGTTCCTGAACGTCTGCGGCCGGGCAAGTTCGATATACTGGGAAGCTCTCACCAGATCTTCCACATACTGGTGGTTTGCGCTGCTGCGGCTCATTTGACTGGCCTACTCAAAGCATTCGACTATCGACATAGTGGGATTGCAGGAAGCTGTCTGTTAGAGTCCAACTGACCTTCTGATTCGCTGCCAAAACTGATAGAATCACGCGCACAATGCATTACTCTGGAACAACATGTTTTTGGTTGACGTATGTAGCCGCTACCGTATCAGTAGATGAGAAAGATGACGCGTGCTGATGGTGACTTCTCGAGGACGACACGAGATTTGACACGAGATTTGTCCAACTCAACTCACCCCCTTGCTGACAGTCGGGCATGCGGGAGCTCTTCCACGATGTGAATTGGCAAACTCAAAAACGCCATGCAAGCATACAAGGTGTTTCTGGAAGCATCACCTGGCTTCGATCAAGAATTGATTTGGCATGCTCACCGCTTGCTTCCCGGCCACTCGAGCTGGACAGACGAATAGAGAGTCGCACCTAGAATTCTCCAGCTCACATGGCGTGACTGTCATGCATCTCGGGTGATCATCTCACTCTGAAAGACAGCAAAGTCATTGGACACTGTGACTGACGGCACCAATGGCTCAGCTCAGAGGTGGTGGCTTCACTGGGTAGGACTTAATTACTATCATCTCATCATCACACCACTGTGTCTGTTGATAATGTTGCATCGACGCTGCCCTCTTCAGGCCGCCATTGCCAGGTGAGAATGGTCGCCGCTTAATCACCCATCCTTAGCAAATCAGCTGGCAGCCAAGTCATCCGGCAACTGCCCCTTTGGGATCAGCTTAGTCTGGGCCCGTGGGACTACAGTAAGGACTGTTGACGATTGTTGGTCGCTCTTATGCGTGGGGGATCAGACGGAGCATTTGGGTTTCACAGCGGCTGACTTCGTATGCGGTTGCCGTCGGTTAGGGAATCCTGATGCGGACAGTGACTCTAAGTTCTGCATTCCAGTTATATAAGAGGGGGTTGGTTGGTTGGTTGAAGTCACCGTCCGAGGGTATTCTGCCTTCCCATCATATCGGCCTGGTTGCTTTGGATGCTTGTCAGGGTGGCGCCAGCACTGGATCGCTTATCCGGCGAGGGTCTCCTCACATGAGATATTTGTCTCATAAGCCGGCAGGAATAGATCAAATAAGCATCCCCCGAAGGACAAAAAGGCTTGCCTTCTGGTCCAATCTGCACAGATGTATGCAGGATCCGATCAGCCTTCCGGCCACCGTGGAGACACACCCCGACTCCGGGCCGCTTGCGAGAATTGCAGACAATCAAAGGTGAAATGCAACCTTTCTGGAAAGAGTACCTGCATCCGGTGTCTTCGTCACGGGCTCCCTTGTCGATATCGACTCGCCAATCGGTCAGGAAAACCCAAGGGCAGTAAGAACAGAGCCACGTTGAAGAAGCTGGGACAACTGCCGGACGAGAAGCCTGTATTACGTGCTTTGAAGGGAAAGCATAACCCAGACACCGTCATGGACAACCATAGTCGCTCGACATGCGAAAGGACTCGAGTGCTTCAGAGCAATGAGGAAAACGTGTGTTGCAATCTGGTGGATGGGTCGGATAGAATGCTAACAAACTTCGCACAGTTCCACGAGAGCCCTAGTAGCCAGGACACCAACCTCACGGCTGACGCGTCCACATCCGTGTTCGCATATTCTTCCTTTCAAAAACCGCTGCCACCTGCAGATACAGTATATATGCAAGCGTCTATGTCACCGACGTTTCTTCAAAAGGAGTTCATCACCAAAGGCCTCACGAGCTGTCCCCTCGCAGTCCACATTCCCGATGCACCGCAACCGACGTGTGCATGTGGAGGAACAGTGGTGTTTCATATGAACCAGCTGAGGGACATGATGGCCAACGCCGGCCAGCTGCGACTCGATCAGATGCTGCAGGGAATCAAGGTAGCTCTGTCCGTCTGCCAAGGATTCCTGCAATGCAGAAATTGCCCAAAAGACAGCACTAGTCTGCTGTTACCTATCTCTACGGTAGACTTTACACTGCAATTATTCGAATACTGGATATCGTACGGGCTGGCGGCGCAGCATTCAGTGGGAGCCGAGAGTGCAAGGACGAGATATGGAGACTATGAACTGTGTTCGGAGGAAAGTTGGTGGATCAGTCGCTTCCTGCTCCGTGCGCGACTCGTCCAGTGCAAGGAGATGTTTGCTGTACTGCAGGAGGCGATCGATGCCTGCCTCGGATCACCCTCCGGTCATCTCGGGCAAGGGTGGTTGTACGATGAGAACCGCGGCGGCAGCTGTCTCGATCAGATTCTTCGGGGGTACGAAGCAACTGTGGAAGCTTTCTTGCGTTGTTTATCGGGTAATGATGTATGACATACTTAAATTTATACTCGTCCGTAGTCTACTTGAACGAGATTTCGACTGTTGCCGTGATGTAGTAGTACTGTAGTTCCCATAAGCAGGACGGCTCTCGGCTTTGACGGGCCTCGGCAATTACCCGCTATACTCTCCCCTCACGAATCAATATAAGCTACCAGCACCTCGTTCTATATTTCAGAAAAACATCTGCTTGCAATTCAATTCAATTCAATTCAATCCATATACAAAGTAAAGTAGAATCCAAAACCAACATGGCCGCCCGCCTCGCCCAGGTCAACGCCCACCTCAACTACCCAGCCGGCCTCCTCGCAGGCAAAGTCGCCATCATCACCGGCTCAGGCCAGGGCATCGGCGCCGAAGCAGCCCGGCTCTTCGCCAACGAAGGCGCAAAGGTCATCGTCGCTGATATTGACGCTGGTGTGTGTCCATCCCGCTGCACTTGAAGATCAGTAACTAACACCCCACAGAAAAAGCCACCGCCGTCGCCAACGCCATCAACGCCGCTGGCGCAGGACGCGCCCTCCCCGTCGTAGGCGATATCCTCGACGACGCCTATATCAAGGATCTCGTCTCCAAGGCGGCGGACTTCGGCAACGGGAAGATCCATATCCTCGTGAATAATGCGGGGTTTACCTGGGATGGGGTGATTCATAAGGTTTGTTTTGCATCTCTCTCCCTTGCGCTTTTCGCTTTGAGCTATGAGCTAGTTACGAATGTTTCGCTGACGGAGTAGATTACCGATAAACAATGGGACACGATGCTGGCGGTGCACAACACTGCGCCGTTCAAGCTGATTCGGGCCGCGGCGCCGTATTTCCGGGTGAAGGATGGGGAGGACCGGGTGATTATCAATATTAGTTCTACGAGTGGGATTCACGGGAATGCGTACGTCTCCATCTTCCCTTCATCCTAGGGACATAGTATAGTGGGATACTGATGATGCTACAGAGGACAAGCCAACTACGCGCTCGCCAAAGCCGGGCTGGTCGGACTGACCAAGACAATCACAAAGGAATGGGGTCCGGCGTATGGGGTGCGGGCCAACACGATTGCGTTTGGGTTCGTCAAGACGCGGTTGACGGCTGCGAAGGAAGAAGGCGCGTTCATCACCACGCCTGACGGGACCAAGGTTGCGCTGGGGATCCCCGGGAAGCAGCTGGCTGGGCGCAAGGGGGACGAGAAGCAGGCGTATCCGGATATTCCACTGGGGCGGCCGGCGAGTCCCGAGGAGGCGGCCCGGGCGATTCTGGGGGTTTGCAGTCCTTACTTTTCGTATGTGAGTGGGGAGACAATCCGGGTGACGGGAGGCCGTAATACGTGATCATGCTTGGTTGCATTGCTTGGGTTCGTACAGATATACTACGGAGTACAGTGTGATATCAAATCATGTCGAGTTATATACATATCCAGACCGCTTAGTGAGTAGCCATGCTGCAGTTCATGAGCGTCTTGACGTGGCAGGCGCAGCAAATAGAGACAAAACCAATGTGCTCCGTACTCCGTCTAGTTCCACGTCAGCCTATGTGTGCACAGCAGTCACTTGGTTGGCACGATGCTGACGGACGGCGCCGACAAGGCACACTGGCCACAGCCTAGCTGATGAGCGGCTTCGGTGTGCTCGATATAGAGCGCAGAGCGTAGGACAGGAAGCGTCGTGCAGGACGTATACAGAAGTGAGAATGGAGGGAAAGTCGTTGTCAAAAGTCTATTGTATATGTGTATTGATTCCAAAATGGACGAGCCTGATCGGCTAATGAACCTTGCACAATCTTACACACACGTAAGAATCGAACCTATCCTCCAGTCCAGCGGAGACATATCTCCAAACCTCGCAAGTCGCTCTAACCAAGCGAATTAAACAAATCACTATTTCCTCCCAATGCTTCCGTGGTATATCCATGCCACTGCCGTCGTCCATAATAGACCATGGCAAAAATGAACAAGGTGAAAAGCAGTACAGGCAATGCTTCTCTGATCCGGGGTATTTCTTTTCTTTCAGAAAAATGCTCTTCAAGCCCAACACCACAACACCAAACCAGTCACATGAAACATAAGAAGCCGACCAGATATCAAATAACCCAAAGATCCACCCGTAAATAGTAACATATTAATTAAGACAAAACAGTGTGCAGAGAAGAGGTCCCGGAACTCAGCGGATGCTGTGCTGACTGGCGGTTAACCAGATAATCCAGGCGGAGGTCACCCAGGAGTCCAGGGAAAAAAAAGATTCAACATTAAGGCGTATGTCCAGAAGAAGGGGGAATGATGTAAAAAGAAGCCGAATGAAAACTGGGGCCGTATAAAATGTTGTGGGAATCCAGTTCCTGATGTTGAATAGATGGCGTAAATCGTTAAGTTTGCATTAATTGGGTTTTGTCCACTTTCTTCCACCCTAGCAGACGCATAATGCCTGATGGCCCGGCTGCTGGATAACAATGGCCTCCGAGATGTCCTTGCATGTCAGGGAGTCCATACAAAGGTCGCCTTGACAGTCCGTCTCCGGCTCATACTCCACGGAAGACATCGACGGAACGCTGTCCATATCGGTAAATACTTCCGTGTAGCAAGAGCTATCGGATGCGGCAGACTCGGAGTAATTTGAGTAGTGAGACGAATCGGAAGAGGATGTCGATGGCTGCGTGTTGAAAGTATGCACAGGGACAGACACAGGGACCTGTGGCCCACTGATGACGTCGTAAGACAGGGGTCCATGAGGAGCAACCCAGGGGGTCACTGGGTTGAGAGTGAATTGAGGGCAATCCAGGATCAACTGACGAAGCTCCGGGATGGTAATTCTCTTAGAGGGGTCGCACTCGAATATGCGGCTCAAGATGCAAACCAGGTCATCTGACAAGGGCAGAATGGACTTGAGGAAGTAAGGATCCTTGAGATAGGCCCGGAATGTGGAGTCCTCGATCGAGGCACGTTTCCATGGGTTGCGCCCGCAAGTGAGGTTAACCAAAATCACTCCCAGGCTCCACACATCATTGGGGGCCGACGCATAGCAAGACAATGGTCGGGGATTCGGTTGCTGGCATTCTTCAAATATTCAAGTCAGCCGAATGAACGCAATAAGAAGAGGGCAAGTAAAATTACCTGGAGACATGTAGAATGTGGAACCGCAACCGAAGTCCGAGGTGAAATAATCCGTGGTAGCAAGGCCAAAGTCGGCCAGTTTGACCGTCAGGCCCTGATCGGTCACCAAGATGTTCTCCGGCTTGAGGTCCCGGTGGTAAATTCCTAAGGAGTGGCAATACTGGACGGCATCCAGGATCTGGAGAAAGACGCGTTTGACCAAGGGATCGTTGCCCACAAAGTTGCCCTTTTCGGTGATGCTGGAGAACAGATCACCCTCGGGGCAGAATTCGATGACCACATAGGTACAGTCGACGGAATCCATTATACGAACCAGGGAAACCACATTGGGATGTTGGCTAGCCAAATGGTGGAGCTTGATCTCGCGCTGTTGGAACTTGAGCTGCCGGGCATCAAGTCCGACCTTGTTTAGTGCTTTGACGGCATACACCACATTGGTGTGGATGTCGACGGCGGTGTAGACAACGCCGTACGCACCAACTCCAAGAATGCCTGTCAGTTCCAGCCGGTTGGCTAGAAGGTATCCCAGGCGGTCTTCCGGAGCATAAACACGGGAGGTGGGAGAAGGCGGAGGAGTTGGAAGCATGGGGGGATACATGCCGAAGGGATTTGGGGAGAGCATTAAGGGCAGATGTGATATAGAGGCGAGAGACTGGAAAGGATGCACAGGGATATGCTGCCTTCCAGCAAGGTAGAAATGATTTGTAGTGGATAGTCCGACTGATGGGAGACTCCTTAATGGAAAGATCCAAATCCAAACGGCCTGGTGGTAGCGGTGATATCCAAAAGGGAGAGTCGTTCAAGGCACAAGGGATATTTATTTTCGACTCAGGTATCCATTGGAAGAAGCAAGATGGTTCCAAGTCTAATCCAAAATCCTAGGGAATGGCCTGTAAAGGAAGATGTCGTTGGTGGCTTGTTGTTGCGGTAGTAATAGATGTTGGTTGTATGATTGTTGGTGTTGCACTGCCTTATGGAGATGCGGCGTCCAGAACCCACAGGGAGATTGGGGGTCCGATGATGTTGGGGGTCGTGGAAGAGATGTTGGAGGATTATATCAATGGTCGACTGTTTAAAGAAGAGAGCTGTCTTGAAGAAGAGAAGATATATCCAAAAATAATATAACAAAAAGACAGAAAGGAAAAGGAATACAGCAGGAAAAGAGTCCACGCAAACCAGACGACGAAATGGAGATGATGATGATGATGAAGGAAGTACGGAGTAAGTATAAGGGGAAGAAGGGATATGATTTATGATGATCAGAAGGAGGCGATAGGGGACGGCGGAGGAGGCGAGAATAATAATAATAATAATAATGGGAAAACGGAAAAAGTAAGTAATAATAATGATCAATAATAATACACTAGCATAGAGTAGGTAGCGCTAAACGGGTGGAAATAACACCACTTATTTAGATATGAGCACGGAGTGGACAAGGCGCAGACTCAGGCTCAGGCTACAAGCTACACGGCCTCGTGGCCTGGACAAAATGTTATGGGGGTCAATAGTCGGTTAGTTAGTCACAGATTAGAAGTGGCCACCCATCCTTCTTCCCCTAAGAGAAATGGAATCTTCGATCCAACAGCCAAAGCCCACCCGTGGACCGTAACCAACCACCGCCGCTAAGTTTAGATAACGACTAATAATAATCGTAGATAGTCGCAGGCGACGTGTTAGCTAGAGCAAAAATAATACGACCAGAAAGAAAAGGCAAAACAAATCAACCAACGTAATGGGGCAGTTACATTAAGCGCAGGGCAAACAACGAGCGCGGATTGGAAGGGGTGACTGGAGCTGTGGGGATTTGCCCCCACCAGACTAAATATGTATGATGCTTACACTAGGCGCTTTAGGGTCCAGCTTCAAGAAGGCAAGGAAGGGGGTGGGAGCAATCAGGGAGCAATCAGGGAGCAATCAACTGTCTAGTAATCTTGGTGCTGAGTACGAGGTCGGTAGGTAGTCTAAACAGGTAACTATCAGCCTGAGTTCGGTACTGGAACCGACCAGTCCGCGTCTCCCCTTCAGCACCAACAGAAGGCGAATCTGGTTCATGGAAGCATCCAGCCGAAAAGGACTGCAACTGCTTATCCCAGTTCAACTCTAGGTCAGTCCCAACGGCTACGTAGGGTGAATTAGACTAGTAGTATTTCCAAGTTTCAAGATCTTGGTTCTGAAGCACAAGTGCTACGAAACATTGCCAGGGAGGCAAATAATTGTGTCTCAAATGTGCACAAGTGCGTGGAGAGATCCAGAGATCAGCTCCAAACGATGATGTCCTCAGGCGTCACAAGGTCATAACTGAACCTCTCTGTCATATCGGTTACCTCCACCTTAGGCTGGTAGCTAGGTACCGTACCTAGGTTGGGAGTTGGCTGCACCTATCAAGTCCGAGAGTTCTCGCATGATAGGCTGAGATCAGAGAGGCTAGCCTCCGTCTGGATCCGAACGATGGCAACAACACCGGTTGCCGTGGCTGTACAAACTCCAGAACCACAAGAAGGAAGGACTCGATCCGCAGATCCTTTGATTATTTGCTGTTGGGTCTGGGAAATCCTGATGGAGGCGGTGAACGGTGTGACAGGTACACCTAAGCTATGCAGATAGTCCCACCCCATACCTGCAGTGGCGCAGTCTCATCATTGGCTGATTGCGGAACCCCACGGATGATGCATCCGCGCTGGGTATTGTGATTGGAGTATCTTCTGGCAGGATGGCGATGGCCCTGTTGCCTTGTCTTTTTTGCAAGTCATACGCAGGAGTATTCCTTGGGCGCTAAGAACAGAGCCTTGGCGATAGTCTCAAGGATTAAGCCTCAGGGAGGAGTTTCGAATAGGAGAATATTCATAAGGAGAGAATGGGGTCGACCCACTCTTTCATTCATGATGATGAAGATAGCCTTATTTGATGATCCTGCTGCAGCCTAGATGGGTATGAGATACTCTTTTTGTGCCTATACATCAGCTTGGATGTACTACTCGAGTACTACGGTGTACGAACTTGCGGTGTTTGCCAGCTCAATTCCCCACAGTCACGGTCGATATGGAAGACTGGACTCTGTTGAGCAGGTCTAGAGTCATTTAGAGTCACTTACGAAGTCAATCAAGATGGAAACTAGCGGAGTGAGAACGAGGAGATACCAAATCAAAAACCCCAAACACAAAACAAGTCACATCCAGCCACTGGGGCCGCCCATAATCATCACTCAAAGCCAAGCAGGCATGTCCTCCTCCCGGGCAGGGATCCTCCGTACGCGGATATGATATGCGCTCACAAAAATAGGACAATTACACAACTATCTGGTTGAATGTCGTGGTGGCCAATTCTAAAGTCATTGAAGGACAGATACAGTAGGTAGCGGGATGATGATGTACGAGACTACGTACCTTATGGACTAGGCTAGGTATCAATCAACCTTCCACACACACGCACACACCGTCTCTTTCCGTCCCGATCAACAACAACAACAAAAGTCTAAGTCTAAGACCCCAGCATGCTGAAACCTTGTTCCTCCTGGTTGAGACGGATCTGGTTCAAGTGGCACAGAGCACCAGTTAGTTACTGTAGATAGATACGGTAGGAAGGAAGGTAATGGTAAAGTGAGGCAATCATGGAGGGCCGCCTTGACCAATGATTAGCCCAGTTCGTCCGCTTCGAGAACGCCCAACCCCAGCGAATGACAGCCAGCAGAGTCGATGATTGGCTCTTTTGTTGCCACGTTTGCTGTCCGAGAGTTTGCTGGTGGAGACTCCTAGATCGGAGGAGTGGAGCACATTGGCTGTGCTATGCTAGAGTCCACCTGGTCGCATAACTTGTCAAAGCAAGGCGTCCATTCCGTGTCTGACAGTCTGCACGGAATATGAGAAGGATCAAGCTGCTGTACAGAGTACGGGCCACGGAGTATTAAACCAGCTGGTGCACAATGGCCCCCTCATTGGAACCAGGGGATATACAGCGCCGCAAAAAGGAAGGGTCATAGGAGCACCATCCTTTGTGTGCGGCGTGTAGGCGTTTTGGTTGCCGGAAGCTTGCCTGGCGGTCGAGGTAGGCTCGTGTGACAGGTCTTGAAGCATCTGGCACAATGACTATCTACCACTTTGCGACTCTACGTAGGAACTGGTTTTCCTGGCTTCCATTGGCTATCAGAGTATCCAAGGATATCAGTTACATCTGTCTGAACATTCTGCCGGGCTACATATCGAGGAGCAGGCCTGCCAATGGATCAGTCCGCAACCATGCCATTTTGTGAACTTGAATGGAAGGGGATATTAAGAGAAATGATGCAAGACTTATCTCCCTAAGTCGAAGACGAGATGAGGGGTGGAGTTGAAACGAATTTACCCTGTTTTGATATGAAGGGCAAGGATCTCTACCGTTATTGCCATTAATAGCGGAAGTCCTCTATACACCCAGACAATCTGATACATCGCTAAGACCAACTACCAACCACCATCCTATCAATACAAAGCAACAATGTACCCCAGACGATCATGCATCACACTCTGCTCTATACATGCATACTTGTCTCATAGGTAACCTGTACAGTGTCTGACCTGTAGATCTAGGGCCAGACCTAAGTACATGCCAGGTAGTCTATTCCTCAGAGATTCCCCCTACGGCAACATCAACCCAGCAGCTAAGGGCTACATAGAATATCACAGTCCTCATTCTGTCTATCTGATCATCTTCATACTCGCAATAATTCATCATCCACTGGAGACTACGGCGGCATCATCCCCGCAAACCCACTGCATCCGTCTACTAGTGTATGTACTCAGTACTCTATATATTCTCCGCACTCTATAAGACGTACTTGTGGTTTGCTAAGTATATCCCTTGCTTTGCCTCCACTGTCAACGGCTACCAGACGTCATTGCCTGTTGCCTATTCTGGAAATGACTCTCTTCATCAACTACTTCCCAGATAGTACAATAGGCGATGGAGATCGAGATGGACAATTGTGCCGCGTGGATCGATCCTTCGATCGTCTTGGTGTCTGATGCTGTGTGCCCGTTGTTTGCCACCGCCCCCCAATTATCATTGTTTCAATGTCATCATCATTCCTCCGATGCCTTACCAAATCGGATGGAATTCATCTTGTCCTCGCCGTCGTCCATCCTGGGAAGCGACAGGTAGGTATGCTTCGTGGTTGGCCAGTCTATCTCTCCTATCCTCATGATCTACATATTTTCCTGGAGTTTGTGGCCAAAATGTATTGGCAATCAGTGGCAATGGGCAAGACCACGGTGCTGCCTGATCGTTGTGTAGGGTTGAGCTCTCCCCCTTATTCCCACCCCGTAAATCGTAAGGGCTATCGAACTTACTGTGTAGATTGATCGTTCGATCATAGTACTCTCATTCGATGATCAGGTATGATCGGGATATTCCATTCAATGGGCATGCCTGAATAGAAGCCTACTGACGCCAAATTCTGCCAGAAATACCAAGTAGTATATACAATCACGTAATAGTATGTCGCAGTTGTGACACCCCCAACGCCGCTGCCTATGCCTTGGGCCGCGCAATGAACGGATGCCTCAACGCTTCAGCCGGTGTGCACCGCTTCTCCGGGTTGAGACTCAGGCAGCGGTCCAACAGATCCACAAACAACGCCAGTTCCTTTGCCTCACCATCCGTCATTCCTTTGGCGTTTTTGCCCATCAACCTGGTCCTAAGGTCACGCGTGGGTTTCTTGAAGTCGAGGACCTTCGTAACCAGACGTCCTGTAATCTTATCCTCTTCCGTGCTGTGGAAATTGAGCATATCATCAAAATGCTGGTGGGTCAAGGTCCCTTTCCGGAGAAGTTTGGGAGGGTATTTGCCACGGCATTCCATGATCGAGCGTAACATCTGGTTGTTGTTTCGCCCGGTGAACAAGATCTTGCCTGTGTACAGTTCGAAGAGCGTACACCCGATCGACCAAACATCAATTGCATGGTCGTACGGGATCCCAAGGATGATTTCTGGGGCACGATAGAACCGACTGACCAGATACGGCGTGATCTCGTTCTCCGTGGCCGGTGAAGCCGATCCCAGGTCACACACCTTGAGCACGTTACGCTGCTCATTCACGAGCAGGTTGTCGGGCTTCAAGTCAGCATGAAGGATATTGCACTTTCGAAGCAGACTGAGTCCAAGGAAGATCTGCTGTGCATACGCTCGGATGGCGCGTAGGTTCAAGCCCACATCCCGTCCGAATTTCTTCAAGACCTCTCGTAGGTTCATGCTCAGATTCTCAAAGACCATGCACAGATGGCCCTTGTGGTCGAAATGTCGCTCAAAACGGATGACGTGCTTCTTATCCTCCGGGTCGGCCTCGCGAAGTTGCTCTAAGATGCCAATTTCTTTCAATCCTGCTTTCCTCATGGTGTCGTTCTGTCGGATGATCTTGATCGCTACAAGACCGCCGGTTTTGGCGTCTGTTGCGCGAACCACGGATGAAAACATTCCCTTGCCCAAATTCTGCTGGACATGATATCGTCCATTGATCAACTCACCCAGCCGGACATTATAGTACCCTTCTGGATCGTCCCAGTTATCCATCATGCTGATGTCGAGCTCTTGCGGCTGAGGCACCGGCACGGCCGAGGCATGTGTAGGTTGCGTAGTTTCCTCCTTATCTTCCGCGAACATGTCATCGTCGTCCTCTGCGAACATATCATAAGGATCTTTCGCCTTGACTTCGGATTGCTGGGCTTGGGGGGCATCTGGCATCAGAACATCCTGCTTGGCGGTCTGCGTTTCGTCGTAGCGAGCCGAAGACATGTCTCCATTGGAGTCTCCTGCATCATGCTTCTGTCTTTCTGCTTTCATGTCAATGGTCGGATCGTAATCCGCCGCAGATGGCTCATCTTTATCTGCACCGTCCGTAGGTGCATCGTGATTAGCTATATCAGCATTATTTCCAAACTCTGGGAAAGAATCACCGGCGCTATCGTTGGGTGCTTCGGAAGCCGACCGTTGTGGAGAGACTATTGATAAAGCAGAATTAGTTCAAAAACGTTCAAACTATTCATTGAGAGTACCTTGAGAGTAGGGAGAGAAAAACCCACCTGAGGCAGCATTACTGGATCGCATCGCATCCAAGCTCGGAGTTGGCGTAGATGAATCAGTATCAGCACCAATATGAGCTTGCAGACGCAGAGGCGTTGCTTGACCTCTATACTTTGCCTTGATAGCTTCGCGTCGTTTGCGGCGAGCTTCTAACCGAGCTGCCTCATCGAGCGCTTCAGCAGGTTCGTCTGCAGTGTCTTGACTTTCTTGTACTGAGGGCCCAGTTGCACTAGAGTCCGAGTCAGCGATGCATGAATCTCAAAAAAGGTACAGGGCAACTATACCTGTCTTCAACGCGTGAGGAAGGATGAGAAGGAAACTGCAGCACCTGATTCTTTCGAACTTCAGCATCTTGTCTAGAATCTTGAGCGACGACCGGAGGGTTCCCTCGCTCGCTCACTAACTGTTCAGTAGATGACCTTCGTCTTTCAGTATCGCGGGATGCCACGCTGCCCTCTCTATGAGAATCCCATTCGTCGCCCGAGTACTGTTTGGGTTTTCGTATTTCCCGGTAGGGTGATCGGCTTCGTGTCCGAGGTGGCTTATCCCCACGTCGATCATAGTCATCCGTGTATCGGAGACCACCACCGTAATAATCGTCTCGGTCATAATCGTGATAAGGTCTAGCGCGTACATGGGAAGTAGGGTTTCGATTATAATGTCTGTCATCGTTATGCCTGGGACCTCCGCGTCGAGATGGTTCGTTTCGATAACGCCTCTCGTGAAAGTCATCCTCGCGCCGACGTTTCTGCCCTCGGTAGTCTCGATAGGGTGAGCGAGAGCGGGATCGCGATCGCGAACGCGACCAAGTCCTCGTCCTGGACCTCCGTTGGCGTGGCGATCTGCCTACAGATGCTGGAGACCTGAGGGCGGACGATGTACTGACTCTGGTTTGACGGTCAACGCTGGTGCCATTAAGAGGAAGTTGCGACGTAGTTGCCTTCGTCTCTGAACCTGATTCGATGATCTCACCCTCAGAAGGGGTCGATGGAGACCTCGACCTACGTGACGCCATTGCTAGAATGGAGCGAGCACGGGATTTTCAAACTTTCAAAGGGCCTGAGAATTTGATCGTGGCTTTCACGCGCAGCTTCAGAGAGAAGAGAGGAACAGAACTCCGGTCAGCAAAGTTGCTCCAGACAATCAGTTAATGGAGAGAGTGTATTGAGAAAGTCCAACCGGCTAGTGATGCCACGGCCTTTGCCAACTTGACTACCGTTTCGCACGAAGCATGTGCTTTTAACAAATTTCGCGTCAAGAGCACCCAGAGTCCTAAGATTCAGGCTGAAGAGAATGAGACGTTTAATAGCCTCTAAGGATGAAAAAAAACTACTGAAGAGATGAACAAGAGAGAATGAGACAGGATATGACGAAGTCTCAGTTGTTCCCTGGTGGCAGGCGGTGACTGACTGGTTTTGACCTTGGCTGTCTTGCTCGGGCGCTAGTGCCACCCCGCCCGCTGATAAGCATCTTTTTCCTCTCTTTTTCCTTAATTTTTTTTTTTTTTTTTTTTATCTACCCATTTCCCCACGTCGCAGCCATCTCCGTCTTTCATCTCGTTCTAGCGACTATTTTCATCTGTTTCTCCTTTTAAGACGTTCTACACAATGGGTGGTGCAAGCAGAGAAGGTATGCCGTCTCCCCCCCTGTGGATAATGCGGTACAGTTAACTAACTCATCTGCTTCCCAGGCGGCAAGGCCAAACCCTTGAAGTCCGCCAAGAAGGAGAAGAAGGACCTCGATGAGGATGATCTCGCCTTTAAGGAGAGACAGAGAGCCGGTATGTTCCTCTTGTATTCGCTGAGGCAAACTGGCCCGGCGCATTTGCTAACTACTGTTGATGAACAATAGAGGCCAAGGCGAAGAAGGAGTTGTTGGAGAAGGCGAAAGGCAAAGGCCCGTTGAACACTGGCCAGCAGGGTATCAAGAAATCGGGAAAGAAATAAATTGTCTTCCCAATGATCTGCGAATCATCGTTATGATATACAACGAGCCATGATGATCTACGACCGCACCTGTGGCGCGCATCCATGTTGGCATTGATTATGCAACTTTTATTACCCGAGCATATTCACTTCTTGAGAAATAACCATTTGAAATCAATGCACGCCCATAATAGTCAAGGGAGCGCGCATCATTTGCTTTAATCAGCAGAATGTATGCCGATCCATAACGCGCAGGCAGAATACAACACCTGAACTTCGAGATCAGAAACTCTTATTACTACTAAATGGGTATCACTGGCGCCCCTCTCAATAATTGCAGGATAAATCCGAATGATCTGCCAGCAGTGTAACATTAGCGAGAAGAGCGAATCTCGCGACTTGAGTCCCGCCAATAAAAAGGGTATTCGCAGAACAGAAAGGGGTATGGCTCAACCAACACACATTCACAGGCGGTGTACTGGAAGTCAAAGGGAACATAAATCAGACAAGGCGACAATTTACCAACGAAAGTCGAATCATAACAGTCGCAAGCAGAAATTCGAACCCGAAATTGACTGAAAGAAAGCTTTCAGCTGGTCACCCGCTTTACCCATAGACCGCTGTCTCCACCATACAAGTCTTGCTCGTCGCGTTTCTTCCAAAGTCTGAATAGCTTCATTCCAATCTCATGCTCCTCTCTCTTGATATCGGCTAATTCGTTGTTGAGACTGGCGACAGTCTTCTTGACCTCATTCCGAGCAGCCATGTCGTAAGCAATGGAGCTAGGCTGGATGACCTGGGTCAGTTCGTGAATAATTGTGTTAATGTTTGCCCTACGCCGTGCGAGGTTGTCCCTCCTTGCTTCCAGCATCTCAATGCGGTTTTGAGCTTGTTGTTCTGGTGGACAGGGGGGGAGGTCCTTGCCATTGTCAGCCTGGGACGGGGTTGGCTTCCTGGTTGGCTTCTTCCCCGGAGCCATGGCACTGGGAATGGGTCTTTTGCGGGACATGATTGAGGGCGCGTTCTCTGTAGACTGGGAAGCCGCATCGACGCTCTCACGACGACTAGGTGTAGGGCTATCGCTCTCCGTTGTGGCGCAAGTGGTTGCACTGAAGCGACTGACGGGTGCATGAGCCTGGTCTCCGGTGGGCAGCTTCAGCTCAGCGAGGGTGGCTTCCAGAGTGGGCCCTGGAATTTCGATACGGGGTGGAACATCGCTAGTCGCACTGATGGATGTTATCGGTTTCTTCGCAATTGATGGTTGCTGGCGACTTTTGCTAGGCTGGCGTTTGTCCGGTCCCAGGGTATTATCTGCGCCTCCAGTAATTGTTGTGACTACCGACGGGACGAAACCGAGGTATGAATAGTCTGGAGATGCACGGCCACTTTCCTTTGATCGATCGTTGTGATCGTTAGTCTTTGATTGATGGACACGTGATGACGATCTCTCCCTTGGCTTCTCCTGGATCGGATTTATCATTGCAGATCGCCCACTCGGACCCTTCCAAGGTTCACGCACTGCTAGAGAAAAAGGATTATCATTTTTTGGCGGTGACCGTTGCCGGCCCTCTGTGTTCTGTTCTTTTGAATGACCATGACCCTTGATCCATCTAGAAGCGGTGCTTGATCCCGTGTGTTGTGATCCAAAGGAGATATCTGTGGAAAGGTTGGGCGCGAATTTATCTGAGTGGCTTGTGGTTGGTGCATCGGAAAAACCATCCCATCGCGCTGTGCGATTCTGACTTGAGAGACCTTGCGTCGACGGTCTGTGGTCAGGTTGCGCAGAGCCCGCGCGCGTACGTGGGATTGGCAAATGGCTGGCGAACTTCGTGATGTTGTGTTCTCCGTTGGACGTCTGATTTGACTCAAACTCGAGAGAAGAGACACGTGAGCTACCTCGACTGTGATATGTGCGACCAATAGACATAGGCGAGTCCGGAGGTGAAATCTCTACACTCAGGTTTCCTGAGGCAGTTTCTGCGTCTTGATAAAACCTGCCATCGTTCTGATGGTCCAAGGTGACTGAGTGCTGGCGACTGTGATCGAACGTGTCCCGAGAATAAATGGACGAAGTAACACGATGACCTGAGTCGGGTCTATTCGCAGAAAAAGTCGAGTCTGAGGGATATCTGTGATTGTCAGCGGACGCTCCACCAGCCTGACAGCCACTTGCAATCTACACTTACTGTGGGACGAATGGTAGGCCTTTGGGCAGTTTCTCGCCCGTTCGAGCACCGGAACCCGAAGACTGGCACACATTATCAACTGAAGAATCCTTGACTAGCTCAAGGGGTCACAATTACCGGTTTCCGCGAGCGATGAAATGACACCTTTCCCCACATTTTGACCGAAGTTTCAAGTACTCTGATTGATGGACTGATGATCAGTGTTCTCCCCGAAATAGGTATGATTCGGGTGATTCGCTTAGGTGAATCAGAGAAAAACGAGAGACCAGGGTTATTCACTATGACATACCTCTTATCTACAAAACGAGAGAACAAGGAGTGAAGGCAACCAGCTAAGGGAAGGTAATCAGCCTGGTTTGACCGTACATTGACATGCCCGCATGTCACCGAACGGAAAAGGAGTCAATGCAGCTGGAGAAGGCTCGAGCAACTCCAATCAAGCTGGTAGGGAATGGTGTGTATCCAAGGAAATGCAAAGGAAGAAAGCAAGGAGTGACACAATATGGGAGAGCCCGAAAGAAAGACTGAGGGCGTAATCAGTCAAACCAATAAAAGGAAAGGTTAGAAAGATAGAAAGAAAGGAAACCTGACAACAACGTGCTGCTGAGCACTGCCAACAGAACCCCTCCGCAGATGATGAAAGCAAGCAATGAATGAATCAATCAAAACGACAAGAAGATGGAAAGGAAAAGTTGGTGGCAGAGTGAGCATGACGGCACTGAGCACATGCTTCTTTGTCGACACTAAAGTAAGATGACACTGTTTCAGATTTCTGTTGTAGTTTAGTCTAACTTGGCTGTGACCCTGTGACAATAATACTCCGTAGTTAATTTCAATGTGGTTATTATTAGGACCACCTTATGGCTCTAAACCTAAGGGAGTAGAATCCAGAGGAGCACGATAGGACAAAAGTAACTCAGGAGTAACTCGGCTAAGACCCTTAACCTTCAAGTCCAAGCTGCGATAGAAATCCATTCGACTATTGAAAGTTAAACAATAAATAACTAGCATCTTCAATTCAATAATGACCCAAAATATCAAAGTTAGGACATTGCCTCCTCAAAAGTCAGGCCGCCACAGCCGGGTGTTAGGCCGATACCTTACCGCACTAGGTATTCTCCGCAAATTCCACGGTCGGTAGCCGAAGTTAACGTCCGTCATGACAGCTTACTCTCGACTTCTGGACTCCATACCATCATCGTCATCATCATCCCGTCTCTACGCCGACTAGAGCCACCTTGGACTCAACCCGGAACGCAACTAGTCGCTTTCTACACTCTAAAATGGCTTCAACAGGTATTCCCCCCCGTCGAAGTCTGGATAGAATCAAATGCTTACTTACACTTCCCAGGAGACGGTGCGGTCCCGCCCGCGGAAGTGTACGTTCTTCTCTCAGCACCTCTCTACAAGCCCTGTGAATAAACATGTCTGACTTCTCCACCGGTCAAGAATGTCAATCGCGATCCCCATCAACCTCATCCTCCTATCTCTCTTCGCAATCCTGGTCTACATGCAACTCCGCCCCAAGGCGCCCGTCGCCCTCCCGCAAGCTCCCCCACCTGTGGTCTTCCGCACCTTCACACCAACAACCCTGCTCGACTACAATGGCGAAGGCGATAAACCCGTCTACCTGGCCGTCCGCGGACGAGTCTTCGATGTGACCCCAGGCAAGAACTTCTACGGCCCTGTATGCCTGCGCCTTACACCTTGATATTTCAGGAAGAGTCAACTGACACCCAGTCCTCTACTCCAGGGCGGCCCATACGAGAACTTTGCCGGACGCGACGCATCGCGTGGTTTGGCGCACCAGAGCTTCGATGTCGAGATGCTCACTAAGGATCTAAAGGGTCCTCTGGACGATCTCAAAGATCTCAACGAGGAGCAGTTGGAGAACCTCCAGTCCT